ATTTATTTTGATTCACAAAACAAAACTAGTTCAATAAAATATAACAAAAGTGATATTAGTGTGTTCAATATATTAATCTATTTACCATGTTTAATCTTAATTAAAGAAAATAATACTCTAGAGATGGTTAGATCAAAATCATTTCTCTAATTTATACTAAACAATTATATAAATAATATTATTCCTTACTATTTTTAGTTTTATAGTATATGTGTCTCCCTCTGTATTGTTTATTTTTAACTAAAAGAAAAACATGAATTTTTAAGCATTTTTTATGTAACAAACAAAATTATAACATTTTTTAACAATAATTAAAAGTTACAATATTTTTTGTATTATTTAATATTTTATTTTATCTCTATTCACTTAAACAAAATTATTTTAATAAAATACCATTTCCATTATTTTTATGTGAAAAAAAAAGAATACTCTATCAATCTCTCTTTATTATAAATAAATGAAAGTTATTGCATTAGTGGTGTTAAAGAGATGAATAAAAGAAAAAATAATGAACATGGTAATTGAATTATATTAATGTGAAAACTCTTTGTTCATGTTCTTCTATTGTAATGGTTTATATTATTTATAAAATATTTCAAAATCCGATTATTATTTGACTATTAGATAATTTTTTATTATATAAAATTTTATTAGTTTTATATTAATTTTTAAAAACATCAAATTAAAAGATATTAATATAGTTATGCACATATAAGTAGAGACACATAGATACTCATGCACATGTGCACATAATATATTATATTATTATTTTTAAATACTTATTTTTACTTTTTAATATTATAATTATAATTAAAAATTGATTTATTTATTTATTTTTTTTTTCATTCTTTATAACATTACACGTTCTTTCTGTATATTTTTATTTTTTTATATGTACTTTTAGAAATATTTTCTGTGCACCTCAATATAAATAATTTGTTTTATTTAAGAAATAGTAATATAATTTTTTAATCAATAACACTAGAATATTATCAGAAATTAAAATTATTATTATTATTATTTAACAAATTTAATTGGTGTATAAATTCAAGCACAGGTGTCACTCAATATATTATTCACACATTTATATTCTAATGTCTATTTATATAAATAGTGATTCACTCACTTTTCTGATTAACAATTGTTTTATGTGATTAATACATTAGGGTACATGCATATTTTGGTTAATTTAATAGTGTATTGTGTCCTTACTTTATGTCTTTTTGTTATTAAGAACTATTATAATCTATAGTTACAGGTGTGATGTAAATTTAATATATTTTGACAGTAGTTGGATATTTTAATTCATTGTTTACATAAATTAGTTAGATTTTATTATGAGTGAAATTCAATTAAGTAATATTTTTTGAACAATTAACTCTAAAACATGTAATGTCTTGTATTTTTAGTTTTATAAACCCTTTATTAAAAAGTTTGGATTTTTAAGTTTGATATTTTATGTTATTTGTAATCATTTGTCTTATCAAATTTATGAGATTATTCTTTTATAATTAGGTTTATAAAGTTGTAATTACATAGTCATTAGTTACATACTTGAATTTAATTGATTATGAAATATTACATAATTGAATTACTGTGAAGAGAAATTTCTGGAACTGATTTGGAGAAAATAATCTTCTTTTTTTATTTTGAGTGATCCTGTACTGATTTGCATTTAATTCTTGATTCTTGTTGGCTTTTAATTTAGCTAAATTGGACATTTCTTTCCATTACTTTGGTCCATCTCAAATTACCTCTCCTACAAAAGAAAAAAAAGAAATATGCAATGTGGATGGATGCATGTATATTGTTTATTATGCTAAAACTATATAAAACGCAACAAATTAAGAAAAGATGAATTATGTTATGTTTTTAATGAAAACATGTTAAATGCTTCGTTTATAAATAAAATAATTAGCTTAGAAAATACTATTAGATGAAGAAATAAAAAGTAAAATGACATGCATCAAATACTCTCCACTTTTGCTTTTTTGCACTTCCAAGCAAAAGATAAAAGAAAGAAAAGAAAAACAATGCATGCAGTGCAAAGATTATTGTTGCAAAGTTAATGACATCCTGAAAACTACAATATTCAAGGTAAACTTCATCAACAAAAAGTGAGAGAATAAAAAAGATCAAGATCATAACTGTAACATCCCGATTCTCAATACCCCTGGTTTGTTAAATTTTGACAAAATCTTTGTCAAAATTTTAATAATTAAATTATTAGGAATTGGGTAAAGAAACTGTAGAGTTTTATGTTTGTTAGATTATTTGTGTTTTTCTAGAATTTTTCTGGAATTTTTAGAAAATACTTAAAATTGATCCGTTTCGCGGGCAACTGGACGCCTGATAGTAATTATATGATTTAGGGTTGAAATTGAAAGAGTATGGACTTAACAATTTTAATTGTCACATTTAGAAATTATTGTTTTCTTGTATGCATTGAGTGTGGGTACATTAAAAGTTTATTATGTGTATAAGTTGACAAGAAATATATGATGGTTGATATGGTTTGGAATGATGTTTGAGTCTTAGGGGTTGTGGGTACAAATCTTGGTTGGAGAAAATGAGGGTAAATTTTTTTGTAATGTAATCCGCTGGGCGCATCAGAAATGCGCTGAGCGGATTGTGTTTGAAATCTCTATTACATGCGGCCTGTAATCGGCTGGGCGCATCAGAAATGCGCTGAGCAGATTGTGTTTGAAATCTCTATTACATGCGGCCTATAATCCGCTGGGGGCATATCAGAAATGAATCTTATTACTTGCGGCCTGTAATCCGCTGGGCGCATCAGAAATGCGCTGAGCAGATTGTGTTTGAAATCTCTATTACATGCGGCCTGTAATCCGCTGGGCGCATCAGAAATGCGCTGAGCGGATTATTAGGTGAAATGTTTGACTTTATAAAGAAAGAGTTTCATTCTGCAACCGTAGGTTCATCGTTTATCTCTTTCTCTCAAAATTTCCTTAGCTGAGCAGATTGTGTTTGAAATCTCTATTACATGCGGCCTGTAATCCGCTGGGGGCATATCAGAAATGAATCTTATTACTTGCGGCCTGTAATCCGCTGGGCGCATCAGAAATGCGCTGAGCAGATTGTGTTTGAAATCTCTATTACATGCGGCCTGTAATCCGATGGGCGCATCAGAAATGCGCTAAGCGGATTATTAGGTGAAATTTTTGACTTTATAAAGAAAGAGTTTCATTCTGCAACCGTAGGTTCATCGTTTATCTCTTTCTCTCAAAATTTCCTTACCTTCAAACTTGATTTTAACGAAAAAATCTTGATTTTCTTGAGAAGCTCCAAGAGGTAAGTTGGTTTCTCTCAATCTCCTCTACATTTCTACCGTTTTATTTTTCAAAACGGTGCATTTTCTATTTTTCTCCTCACTTGGCTCAACTTGAATGGGTGTAGGAAGAATGTTATTGTAGGTTTTACACCTAGAATACTAGAATAATGCTTAAAATTGAAGATTAGAAGTGGTTAAGCTAAGAACTTTAAGAGCCCTAATTCGTAGGTACTATTTATTGAATTTTTGGGACTTGTGTGAACAGAATTAGGAAATGGTATCTTCATGAAAGTTGTATCTCTTTAAGGTGTCGAAATTTAGAAACTGATTTCACATTAAACGGATATTTATATCTTAAGTTATGCCCATTTTACTATCAAGTGTTCTAGCTGTGACGTTAAGAGGTAGCCCTGTTTCAACAGCCTAGGATTTTGAATTACTGAGATTGATACGTGTGAAATTAAGACTTGATTCCTTCATAAAAGTTGTATGAAATTATATCCCTGAAATTTAGAAATTTATTTCATGTTAATAGCTTATGTGTAGCAAGAGTTATAATCCAATTACCAAGGCATGTTCAGAGTGTTATTGTAGTTGAGTCTAGCTGGAAACAACCACTGAAAACTGAAAACTGCATCTATTCTATAGGGTATTTGAATTTATTTCCTTCATCAATATTGTAGGTAATTAAGTTATTGAAATTTTGGCTCAAATATCATGCCAAAACAGCTTATATAACTCTAGAAAATTTAGAAATACTAAACCTTATTCATGTTTGCTATTAGGATTTTTCCTACTCTAAGTGTATACAAAATAGGATAATTTTCTAAGTTAATTGTAAGCTGAATGTGAGCTTAAAATATTATTAAAAATGGATTAGCAATACAGAGTGAAATTAAATTCTCATGAGATAGAATCATAGAAATATAAGATTCTAACTAGAATTTTATTACGTATATAGATTTTGCGGAAATACAACATCAAGTTTTGAAAGGAATAAGTGTGAACGTATCAGGTAAGGGGTGGGCTATATAGTAAGGATTACATCATAAACTTGTTTGACCTTATTTATTGAATTTGTCTAAATTTGTTATGATTGATAATTTTGATTTCATTATATGCTTGGTTGTGAAAGTGATAATGAATTGCTTACGTGTATGATGGTGTAAAATACATGCTTGGTACTCTATTATGATATGTATTGTCTTTGAGTGAGCATTTATATCACTACAAGAAAAAACACATTTAGCCACCGAAATTAGCGACCGATTTAGTGACCGATTTAATTTTAGTCGTATTTAGAGACCGATTTAGCGACAACTTTAATTCGGTCGCAATTAGCGACCGATTTAGCGACCAAAATATGATTTGGTTTTCACTTTTTTATTTAGCGACTGAAATAGCGACCAATTTTTGTGCGTCGCAAATTTTCAGTCGCTAAATCGATGGCTATTTCATACATAAATAAAAAACCATTTAGCGACTGATTTAGCGACCGAATTACAAATTGAAATAGCGACCGAATTAAAATCGGTCGCTAATGAGAAAATAATCCATGATTATATCTCGATTTTTGCAATATCGCCAGTCTGAAAATAACATCGCTCTTAAATCGACTGCCAATCTGCACAAAATTGTGCAATTCTCGTGTCTGTATTTCGCTTGAGTCTGACACTATTCGTCTCGAAAGTGACATCCGACTTCAAACATGAGGCACCCAGGTTACATTATCCGTATTAACTTCTGATCGACGCTTACGCAGGATTAACATTCGCGTCAAGCTAAAACCAACATCGCTCGAGCGACTGCACTGTGGAACCGCTATCATATAAAGAACATCTCGCCTGCAAGCCAAGTAAAACATTTGTGAAGCGGCTGAAAAAGCGAAGAAAACGCTTATCGCAGGCTGACATCGCCCTGAGCCAGGATCTGCCTGCAAGTGAAAGTAACATTTGTGGAGTCAAAGTAACATTTGCCTGCGAGCGAATGTAACATTCTGTGAAGTGACGTAATATTTGCCCTAGTCAATGTAACATATAATAGCGGTCCTAGCGGAAAACCCGCTATCATATACAACCAGAGTTTTCCCACTTCTTGATCCGATTAGATTTTCGAAATGA